CGCTGTCTGCCTCCTCCGTTCAGAACGGGTAGCGACTCCGTTGCTGACTGGTATCTTCGTCGTCCTTGCGTCGGTCTTCGTCAGCGGTCGTTGTGCTGTCACGCCCCCGGCTGGCAGAGGACAATGAGCAGGTTGTGATCGCCGACTTTTTGCAGTCTGCCTCAGTCGCCCAACAGCCTGCGCGGCCTTGGCAACCGGGGGACGACCGAGACGGTATAATTTTCGATGGCGTCAGTACCATGAACGGTAGTTCGCTGAATTTTACAGAAACTTTGCACGGTCTCCAACCCTCCTCCTTTCTCATCCGTACTTGGGATCGGCCATGGCGGAATTTGTTAATCAAAAAGTGGAAAAGGAAATTCTGAAAAACTTTCGCCCAATTTGCCTGCTCTCACTGGTTTACAAGCTGTTCAGGAGCATTATTGCCAACAGACTGTCAGAAAGCGAGGTGAACTTTAGTCAAGAGAATGGATAGGATTCTGAAGGAGCTACAGCACAACAGATATCATCTTTGCCTTAAATTTATTTCTCGGGCGCGCGAGAGAATACTCGCTGCCTTTATGTGTCGCCTTCATCGGGTGCGAGAAACGGTTCGACAGTGTGGAGTACAACGCAATGTGAACTACACTGACAGAACAGTGCATCTACACCAGTACATCATCGCACTAAAAGAAACGAACTCCGACTGCTTCACAAACATCACGCTGTTCACCTCCTCCTCAGGATTCTCTTAGAGAAGGGCATGAAAGAATTTGGTACACCATCTCCCCGAAACTTTGCATCAAAATGATGTTCAAGGGGATGAACTAGAAGGGTGGAATTAAGATCAAAAGTGAACAGCGCAGCTGCATAAGGTTCGCCGAGGAAGTCGTTTTGTTTCCGGAACGCGTGCGTCTTCTATAAGACATGCTGCAAGATCTCGCGAGAAACGATTTAAAAGTCGGACTGCGAATCATTCGATTAAATAGGAAGTTACTGCGATTGGATGCTCTACCGAATCCGGAGGTAGTGTTTAACGATAAAAGCATAAAAGACGTCGAGAAATATATCAACTTGGGCCATGAGATGAACATGCAACATGATCAGACTTTAGAGATTCAGCGAAGAAAAAGGGCCGGTTGGCGCGCGTTCCGTTCCATCAGTGACGTCTTCCTAGGCAACATCAGGAAACATCCCTCGCACACATCTTGGGTTCTGCCTACCAGTCGGCAATATAGTATGGCTGGAAGACGTAATCACTCACTTAAGCCAACGAAGGTCAGCTATCTGTCACCGAGAGGGCCATGGAAAGAAGAATGTTAGAAATTTCACGTCAGACCACATATTCAGCACCATGATCAAACAGCGGAAGGGAGTGAAGGAAGTCGTTGTCAAAAGCGGAAAGACGAGGCTACGGTTGGTCGGGCACTTAGCTCTACTCGCAAACAACAGATGGTCGGCGACGATTGGGGACTGGTACCCCGCGGGTAGACTACACCGCTTGGTTGCCCACCACGACGATGGAAAAATTTTATATAGAGCCAGGTAGACCTCACTTGGAAAGATTGAGGAGGCTCGAAGTCACGATGAGCAGCCGGCGTGTTGCGGTAGCGCGATTCGATGTCGACTGCAAGTTGGTCTAAGTGATCCAAGTGATTTATGTTTGCAGTTGCTGTGATTAATCACCTATTTTAGTCACAATATAGCACGAATTTTATGCTAAAATATGAGAAAAAATATGAAATATGAGGGGGTTTACGATCTTGATTGCTCATTCAAAACTGTCATGATATATTTGGAAGGCCTGAATTTCACATTTCGATACAAACTTCTCGGTTGAAACGTACCACTGCAAGACGTGCAAATTTTGAAATGTTTTTTCGTCAAATTTCGCGGTTTTAGCCAAGTGGCATGAACTCTGTTAAAATTTCTTTATTTCTTGATGTCACATGCTTGATTTTTATTCCGCCCAGTTCATAATTAACTATCACTCTCTTCAAGTGAAGGAAAGACGCTTAAAAATTTTACAAAGCTTTGTCCCGGAATTAATGCATCAGTGATCCTGACCATCTTTGTGGATTTAGTCAAACTGCCTTCCAGCATGCTGATGTTTTTAAAAACAATAGGATTTGTCAGATGTTAATTACCACTGTCTCGTTAGCTGACCGTTTAGGGTTCATGGCAAGTCTTCACGGCATAGGAAAATCTAGAGCATTGTACTTTACTTTACTTTAGTATATGATCCCTTAGTTTGGTCTTAGCTTCTCTTGGTGGCGTAAATAAATAGGTTGGATTTAGATAAACAGATCAAATGCAAATATCATTAACGTACGTCCACGCTTACTAGCAAGTCGTTTTCATGAGCTTGCAGCGACAATATTTCAACTAACGACAATAGCGGAATAATCTAGAACCTTAAGTTGCAAGGCGTACAATCTGTATAATTTTCCGTGTTTTAAACCATTTATCAAGTTGGTTATTAATGGCCGTTACTCTAATGTTTCATAGGTAGTCAGGTGTGCTAATTCTCCTGCTATTTAGAAGTCATGCCGTACTAACGCAGTCGAGGTGAGGTTTTACTGTTTAAAAGGAGTCACGAAACGGTACTATTTTTCAACGGATCTATTCAACAGCGGCTAGTGAAACTAATGAAAGTATGAGAGTTTTGTGAATTTGGAGAAGAAATTGTCGTTGCAGTTGAAGCTATCAACAAGGTAAACGACGGCAAAATTTGGCGCCAACCGCGGACTATTGCTGCCAAAAGCAAAAGAATTCCAGTTGGTACAAAGAGTAATAGCTACATTAATGAAGAACGTCGCAGAACGTCGTAGAACGTTTATTCTGTACGTTGCGATGACCCTCACTCAGTGATATCATTGGAATTGCACGACCGTCAAACACTTTGAGTATTGACCTTCTAGCGAGGCAAACTGGCTGCTCGTTTGGTTCTTCCGCGTTGTTAAAATCTTAGGCATGAATCGAAACTCGATTCATATAACACTATGAACGGCATTATTGCTGTTATCATCGTATAGGACCAAGAAAAGATGGAATATGTGAGTGACCAAAATTGGTAATGTTTGACCCAGTTTAAACGGTATCGTTGATTTGTATTAGGCATTAACGCGAAAAACATTTGCTAGCAAGTTTACTGCTGTTGGACACAGTGACGCAAATAGACACCAGCACGAAAGCAGCAAACGCAAAACGCATTTCTCAGAAATTGCAGAACATCCAACCAGGCATGTGGTTCAAACAGACAATTAGAATATTTTATTTGACTCTTGCATGGTCCAGTTCGGTCGTTAACATAAAACTAATGCTAAGTTAAATTTTTTTGAACAAAGTTACTTTCTGATTAATCTGTTCTGCGCCACACCTTTCCTACCTTACCACATTTCTGTTTTAAGCGTATACAATGTTTTTTTTGACACGTCTCAGTTTTCTTCTAGCGACAATAGATGATCGATCTTCATTGTAAATCGCTGAACATGCAATATCACGAAATATATCATAGTCTTTCCTTCGAAACGTTGCTTTTTACCGTATTAGTAGAGAAGGGTAACACAGGTGGTAGGGCATCGAACTTTCAGTTGCAAAATTGCATTGTTCAAAGTCCGTCTTGTGCACTTCTTTTCATTCTTTTTGTGGAGATTAACGAATAATGGTCTGTTAGAAGTGAATCGCCTCCAAGATCAGGTGCTCCTATCCACTACCATCGACAAAGGATCATAATGAACAGCAAAAGAAAAATGAAGCCATATATGAGCTCGTTAAGAAAGCGTCAGGAGGTCTTACTTTCAACGGTTCATTTACTATTTATTTATAATTAACTCTTACCATTTATTCAACCTAATTGTAGTGGCTAATTTCTATACGTATCAAGCTCAGCTGTATTGTTTCGGAAAGCTGTATGATTTTCATATTTGTTACGTCGTAATCTCTGTTCTGTACCGTCTGATGCCCAGTCCGTATTAGTGTCTATATATGCTTAGGTTTGCTAGCCTTGAATACCACAGCGCATGTTAAATTCGTTGACCTGATTTTGTTAAAAAGGTGAATGTACATGTCCCAGTATGTTAAGGAGTGCGTTTCACCGCAAAGCCGGATTTCGCGTCGAGTAGCAGTGTTCCCTTGCTCTGAAATGCTCACAGGGCACTAAAAATGTTTCACTAGCGGATATGTGTCCGAATTAAATAAACTCCTTGCCATCCATGTACACGAAGGCGATGTAGTATGCCCTGGAAAATTACCTACTGGAAGCTGAGAGCTTACCAACGTGGGTGTAGCGGGACTTTGTTTCATTAAGAGCAAAACTGCAGACTAAAAATTTAAGTTCCTGACTACAATTTCAATATCCAAAACGCTGAAAAGCCATGATCAGCCTCATTCAAGAGTGAACTTTTATCCACGAGATATCAGTCAATGTTAGAAAATACTGCTAACGAGTACTTCAATAAATGAGCATTCCATTTATAAAGCTTATAATACAGAAGTATTCAGTTTCTAAATCTATGGAGTTCAATTGCACAATCTCAACTTACTTTCACATATACGATATATCATCATTATCATCTTCCATCGCCGCTTCTCCTTTCGGGTCGCGGAGACAAACACGTCAGAGAGAGCCGCCAACGTTCCCGAGCGTCTTCCAGAGTCTGAGCTTCGGCAAAAGACAAATGCAGTCTGGAACAGACTCCATCCATATGTTTGCACCAGGATAATCTTGGCCGTCCCTTGGGCCTTTTGCCGGTCGGA